GGTCATTAAAAAATATTCCTCCCCTCAGAGCTCAGGGAAACCCCATGAAAGGGGAGATAGAAAGAATGTAAGAGGCAGAAGGGATGATAGCAAGACCCTCTAAATCAACTAAGTAAAGCTCATAGGAGCTCACAGAGACTGAGGCTGAAATCACAGGGCCTGCATGGGTCTGCTCCAGGTCCTCTGCATATACATTATCACTTTCCGTTTAGTGCTTTAATGGAACAACTGCGTTTGTGAATGAGTGAGTCTCTGATTTTGCTCTTTTCCTTCTGTTGGTTTGCCTTGTCCAACTTCATTGTGATGGCTTTTGTTTCACCTTATTATATTTTATTTTGTTATGTTTTTTTTTTCCTCCTAGAAGCCTGTTCTTTTCTAATGAGGGACAGAAAGGGAATGGTTCTTGATGGGAGGGGAAGTGAGGTGGTACTGTGAGAAGCAGAGGGAGGGCAAACTGCAATCAGGATATATTGTATGAGAAAAGAATCTCTTTTCAATAAAAGTGAAAATATTTTCTATCCGTTAAATTTGTCTTAAAGTGAGCTGTCCTGAAAAGCACCAAGCTCTGCTCCATTGGCAATATTTAAGCACTGTCTTGACAATAACTTGACTTCAGATAGTAATGTACAGATTCCAGTATTACATAATTGATCATGATAGGTCAGTGATTCTCAACATTTCTTATGTTGCACACTTTAATACAGCTCCTCATGTTACGGTTAGCCCAGCCATAAAATTATTTTGTGGCTCTGATTTTGCTACTGTTATGAATCATAATGTAAATATCTGCTTTACATAATACTTCATATATGACCCGCAAAAGGGTAGCAATCCACAGGTTGAAAACCACTATGCTATGTCTGTCTTTCAAGTCCCATTAAGATGATTCTGTGATTCTACAAAATCATTGTCAGGGGCTGGTAAGATAGCTCAGCAGTAAGGTTACTTGCTACCAAGCATTTTTGATGATGTAAGTTTCATCCTCAGAATTCACATGGTTAGGAGAGCACTAACTCCTTGAAGTTGACATTTAACATTCACAAGTGTACTGTGACATGTGCATGCACACACACACACCCTTATGCACATACCCTCACAGGGAGAGACAGACATATACATTCACATACCTACACACGAATGCTAAAGAAATAATGTAAATGCATTTGTAAAAATTCCTATTTCCTTCTCGCATATTATTAGCACATTTAAAAATCTTCCTTTGTCAGTAAAATTCATTTGATTTACCTTTTTCCAATATATGTTACACTTATTTTTATTTTCTATTGTATTATTCAAATGTCAAATTATTTCAAAGAGTGTATTTCATTGATCTCTCCTTGTCTCAAACTTCAAAGACCTTTTATCTTTGTAATTTAACTTAGCATCTACAATTTATTAGTGCCAAATAATTTAGGCCAGCCCCTTGAAAAGTTATGTAGGAATCATCTATGCTTAACCCATTCTTTAAACAAACATTCAGAAACACTGGTCACAGAAACAGATCATCTTCGATTGTCTTAAAAGAGTTCTACTAACCTTTCAGATTCAAACACTTTTTTACTTAAAAAAAAAATATGAGGTCTTAATTAGTTTAAGCCTAAAAAGTGTTCTGAGATTCTTTAGTGAAACAATATAAATGAATGAGTAACTGAATTATCATCTAACACTTTCTTCATATTTAGACTAATCCATTAAATTCGTAATAAAACTAACAAACACACACTTCTGCTAAATGCTCACTAGGTTTTCATGAAGCGCTTTTGAGGAAAAGGGGTGTGAACTCCTTTTGAATCTTTAAAAACAGTTCAAAGTGTTCATCTGTGAAGGTGTAGAAGATCTGCACAAATAAACACTTGTGCAAGTATTGCACCCTCAGTCTCAACTGTTCAATTCTTCAAATTCCTCTATTAATATTTACATCTCTATTAATATTTACATTCCCACACACACAAAAAAAAACTCCACAATAAAACCAATTTTTGTTTTTCACATTCATATTTGTTAAATTTTTTGAGGATATATTCTCATTTACAACATTGTTTATAACTATTTTCAATTTTTTCAATGGTGGTAGCTCAAATAAAGTTGCAGTTAGCTTTTTGCTCACTTAGTATGCAAAATTAATTAGAACGCACAAATCAAGAAAAGTTGTGGGCTTTAGGATTGTTGCGCAATAGCTTAAAACAGATGAACACAACATGTATATAATCAGGGTATGTTGCAATTTTCAAATATGTTTGCATGTAGGGTACAAGGCTTTAGGAGCGAATACCCCATTGCATGGTAAACCATTCTCATATTATTTCATTCAGTGTTACACATACCAAAATATTTGTTTACTTTTAACCATCTGACTGAGTAATATATAATTAGCCAAGGAAACTCTGTCAACATTATTCATCTTAATTCCATTGTTTTCTCCTGGAAGATGACAGAATAATTAAAAGAGAATTATTTGAAAAATGTATTTTCTTTATGTCTTAAAATTTATGATAGCTAGCATTATATGGCTTTTTGGCTGGTCTGAAAACTGCATCTTACATATTGGTTTTTATGTTCTACTTTTACTCACTATTACATCATCAATAAAAAGCATCTTATTTTCTTTTTTTAAAGTGGAAGTTCCTACTTTTCACAGTGTGAATGTTTCATTAAGTAAAAGTATACAGCAGATCCCTTTGTAGTTAACACCAAAAGTCATAATACAGAGCAAAGACACACCAAAGACATTTTAATCCACACATTTAAAAAAAAAATCTGTCCGGAAATGTCTGTGCTGATAGTGTCCACTTTTAATACTAACAGCGTGTTCTGTGTTCTATCAACTCGACTTTACATTACTCCTTAGGAGTAAGAAATATGTGAGTATATTTGGACTTTTCTCATCAAAAATAACCATGAAAATCAAATAAAGGGAAAGTAGATCCAAAAGCCAAAGAGAGTCATCTCCTTTAGGGATGATGAGGTAAGATTCTTTCAGGGTTATATTCCCTGGCCCAGCAGCAGGAGGCATGTGTTGATTGCTCACTTGCCTATGTGGAATATGGCTGCCCCAGGAGTTGTGCGACCACACCCCAAGGCCTGAAGCATCTCGAGTCATGACCCTACTATTGCAGTTTGGTTTTCAGCCTTTTTTTTTTTTTTTTTAACATGGATACAGTCTGTTGGCAGCCCTTCCTATACAAAGCTTTTTGAAACCCAATTTGGAAATCACATTAGGGAAACTTCAATGACAAATGTCCCTTCCATACCCAAGTCTCACACGGAAGACTCACAAGGAAGGTAGTATTAACCTAGAAAATACTGATAAAAGTCTTTGGATTTTGTTCCATAAAACTTAAACACTATATTTAAAAAGAACAGCCTTGATGTCACAGTGCTTTGGTCATGTTCTGGGTCATTGTAGATACTTTATTAATAATCTTAAAGGACACTGAGTATTTTGAAGAACAAGCTGAAACATTGTAAGTATGACAATCTAAACTCCCACTTTACAGAATACCTACATGGTTACCATACTGAATCAACTCTGTTTGTATGCCCATGTGTTCTGTAAAGCTGAACAGGGCCTTCTTTTGGGGCGTGACCAACTCTGTTCTCTCCTTTTTAATGATAGCAATATGGCACTAGATCATGAGTATTTATGCCTATAAAGCAAATGGACAAAACCCTACAAGAGGTGAAATATCTCCATGCCTGTCTCCTATACATTGTCATGTGTAACTTAAAAGAATGCTTAGCTTCTTTGCAAGAGGTAGGCTGGAGTTCCTTTGAAAACTTCTGAAATTAGGGTCAAGTTCATTTTATGCTTACGATGATATTACATACATAATTTCACTTGTCTTGGGCAAGTCAATGTTTTCACATCTGGAAGGAATGGTAAGAGGTACAGGGATGCCTCCCACAGAGTGTCCCCTATCCAGTTTGGGAGTTAGTGGGAATGCTGCCCTTTCTCCAACACAGCCGCTGATGAAAAGGATCTATTAAAAAGAACTGCGTTGGTTTGCACTGCAGATTGGATGGAGGAGCAGTGAGCGACTGCATTATCAAGACTGCAGTGGGGGCAGTGGTCTTCTGGATCATGGAGCACTTCCACATGTGTGCAATCATCTCCCTAATGTCCTCATCTCATTTGTCACGAACTGGTATCTGGCGGCTCTTTCTCAAATCCCCACCCCCCACCCCCTGCTCCAGCCATGCTACAGTTTCATCACCGCCCCCCTCAAACCCCCACGTTAGCAAGTATAAAGAGATGAGGAAATACGTGTACTTTCAGATTGTCACCTATGTTGCATGACCATTGGCGATTTCTGGAAACCACTTGGAATGGCTCCTGGTAGGCATTCAACGATGTCGTCGTTCCCCCCCACCCACCCACCGCGCGCCCCCGATATAGTTCAGATGTTCTTAATTTGATCATCTCCCCCACCCCACCCCCTTCAGTTTGGACTGTAATTTTCCAAACAGCCATCTCTCATTTGCAAAAGTTAAAAATCAATCCACAGATACAGAATGCTGACTTCCTGACAGGATCTCTCTTAGTGAAGCTGGCAAATTGTGACCAATAAATAGAAAGGAGAGAG